CTCTGCCCGTGGGGACGAGCTTATTGAACTTTCCGTCTTCGTCTCTTCTGGAACTCGTGTTCCTCTGCCGCACGACATCACGCGATGTCGATTCGCGGAGAACTCGCGCGGAGATTTCGCGGAGCGCCCTCCCCCCCCTCTCTCTCTCTCTCTCTCGTTACTTATATTCTATTAAAATATTGCATTTATTTCAAACAAAAAAAAAAGGAAAGAATTAAAAGTTACTTCGATCTAGCAATAAAATATTGCAAAGAGATACCGAAATATTCTGGATATATTGGACAGGCAGGAAGGATAATTAAAATTTATTACTTTCAAAATAGCAAACGCAATTTATGGCTCACAAAATAAAATTAAGTAACCAAACATTTTCAATGCATAAAGCTGTATAAACAAATAATAAAATATTCAATATACAATATATAAAAAACAATTAATTGTGTTCCATTAGTCATTATTCATTACTCCAAGAGTAAATAATAAAAAATTAACTCCAATTTTTAATACCTTCAATATTAACCAATTAACTATAATCGGCTTTTTTTACTAAATTACTATTAAACGACGAAATTTTCTCGACTCTCAAATTTTTGATAAAATTAGTATCCTTGATTAATCGGGCATTAAGCCCGAAGGAAAGGTCGACCATTCAGGGAAATCGAGCTTTCGTTTAAGGGGGGATTCGGGATAGTTTAGCAATTCATTAGGACGGACACTCGAGAGTCGAGACTTAGGCGAACTTGGACTTCCTTCAACTCGCGCTCGCTCTATAGAGAGGTCGGATATAGAACGAAAGGAAAGGAAGAGAGAGAGGCAACTAGAGGCATTACTGCAAAATACCGTTTGTAGACACAAGCGAAATGGGTCTGGCTTAATTAAACTGTATGCAGCTTCCCAAAACGGGATTCCATTTAAAGTTGAGTTTTGCCTCAGATCTCCACAAGCTCCTTTTCACGAAAGGTCTTTTCCCGTTTCTCATCTTTGACTTTATCAGTCAATCGCGCAAGGTTATAATTTCAACCGTGCCAAACTCAACGGGAGACAAATATTTACATTTATAACAAAATAATTATTTAAGAATACGATATTTTTGTAGGTCAATCTTTCATAGTAAAATAATCGAGAAAATAGTATCCCAAGTAATTTTAATACTGCTGAAGAAAATGTGCTGCAACTAAAACAAATTATTGTATATAAAATATAGTATTTTAGTTTCAACAGCGCTCTTATACAGCTAACGTCGTCTGATAATCATCAGATGTTACGTACGCAGATATCAATCTTTTACAAACGTACGCGATTCAACTTTTACGAAATATTTGACATTTTTAAAACAAATTTGTAAAATCTCTCTCTCATCAATCTCATTTTATTAAACGTAACATTATATGTATGTTAAAAATATTTTATAATATAAATTTCAGAAATATGACATCAAATACTATAAGAAATAATTTATATTAAAAAATATATTACTCAATAAAATTAAAAGATCACCTGTTTCACCCTGCAAAAATAAGCAAATTTCAAGATAAAATAAAAGCAAAAAGGTCATATTTGTTTCAACATTCAATAACTCGGTGAAAAAAATATCATACGGAGCTTCATAAAAAATAAATTAAAAGTAAAGGTTCGTTCTTTCGAATGATGTAAACTACATTTGTGTACAATTTTTAGTTTCGCACCGCCAAACTTTGCAGATTTTGTAAAAAATTTTTAGATCTGATGCATCTTCATTTATGTTTGTGTAACTTCATAAAATATCAATAAGACCGTTTTTTTAAAGTAGCGATCTGAAAAGTAGAGATTTCAAACTGTAAAATGCTTC